GTATCTTATTTATTGTGTATGTTCTTGAGTGTTGAATGTGTAAAATATTTGGTAAAATTGTTTTCTTTATCTGAAAAGTAAATAAAAATTGAGCCAAAACACTTGCATTTAAGTTTAAAAGGAGAAAACAAAAAGTGAAAACTGTTCCATCTTTAGGTCAGAAACATTGTATTTTGAAATACTTTTGCAGCATGGAAACATATGTAGCTTTAAATTATTTTAGTTTGTAGTGAGTATTGACAAAAATAGTCAGAAATGTACTTATTATCCATAAGTTATTAAAAAGATAATCTTCAGAAAGTACTTACCATAGGAAAAGTACAGAGTTATGGAATACTGTGGTTTTTGACAAATTCATACAAAATTTCCTATGGCTAGAGTGTTTATTGTGCTTTGTCATTCCCATAATTTAATATCTGAATAAGTTTAGTAGAAATTTACAAATTCCTCTGAGACCTAATATGGAAAATTGTATTTCAAAATTATTCCTTATTTTCCAAAAGTTATCCACATGAGAAAAAGAAATTCTGTGTTATTTATTGCAGCTGGTATATTAAGAACATTATAAAATGTCATTCATTTCCAAATTCAGAAATACATTAAAGGGAGTTTCATGGGAAAATACAGCTTCTTGGTGAAGTGGAAACACTGTGGGCTTTGGAGTCAGGGAGATGATATAGGTTTGGAGTCTGGTTATTCTTTTGCATAATCTCAGAACCTTAATTTCATTTCCTAAAAGTGAGGAAAATTATGTTTTTCTCTCAAGGATGTATAAATCCCTAGATAGTATTGTATTTGATTGACAAATAACCTTTTTCGGCTTTTTCTCCCATGGCAGCCACCTCAAATTATGAAGAATATCAATATCCTTATATATCCTTAGATATAAGTTCCTTAGATACAAGTATATACTTGAGCTCCCACTCTAGCATTTGATTTTATGTATTTACTTTAGTTATAGTCACACATTAAGATGCATCTTTCATAATGAAGAGAAAACATATGGTCATTTTCTTTTTCACATAAGAACAAGAAGATTAAAAAAAAAAGTGATTTACACAGAATTCAACAGGTAGTCAGTGGCATGTGAGAAACCTCCTTTTAAATCTTAATACCTTTTCAGCATATTTATTGCCAATGTTAAAGTGACTAGAGTGCTTAAGTGTATCTAAGACCATAGCTAAGTGGTCTCCATGCTCATAGGGATTAAGAATGCATATAAATGTATGTATGTATATATATACATATATATATACACTCACAAAATTTATGACAGGAGAAACAGGAAGAATTTAAGTCTCTACAGGAAAATGCCAATATTTACTCTAGGTCAGGTAAATTCTGAGAAAATATTAGTATTATAATTTTAGGTATTAACCTGAAACACAGTGTGTTGCCCTTGAGCATTTATATATAATAATATATAATATGCTAGCAGAATAAGTTCATTAGTTATATCAGTTAATCTAATTGTTTAACTCATCAATTGAATCTGCAATATTAGTTTTAGTCTTCATATTTTGAACTACTATTTAGTTTTTTGAAGTTTCATAATTTTACTTTACTTTTATTGCTTCCTTACATTTACAAATACATTGTTTTATAATTAATGAGAAATACTTACTTTATTTTCTGTATCTGACAAATGAACTGTCTTTGTAAGTCAATGGGCAGATGTGGACATATTTGCTTTTGTGTCGATGCTCACTCTTGTGACCCATTGCCTGAGGTGTTTCCTTATTTTGTCCTTGTTTCAGTAAATATTCTTAACTGCATTAGTGGGAATTTTTAGAGGTGCAAGTTTAATCTGTCTCAATTCAAAAAGCTTTTTAACTGCTCTTCCAGGAATACGAGTGCACATTCCTCTTTACACTGGATAATTACTTCTTAGCAACCCCTTGCTACACCCACATGGTAGAAACCATCCCACCCCACCTGTAGCTTTAGTTTTGCTCTTTATGCTTTTAGTTCCTGAAATAAATAACTCATTTTAAATTGCATGCCATTCTGATCACCATGAACAATTCTGTCACGGTCCAGCTTTGCTCACCTAAGACATGAAACATTCCTTCCCACAGTGTATCCACACAGTATATTCTACCCACTCCTTAGTCATTTAGTAGCCACTTGGTTATCAGATTGACTGTGGTAGTATCACAGTGTTTGTGCTCAGATGGCTCTTAAAAACAAGAATAATGATGCTGTCAATTTGGATATGCCAAAGTAAAACACAAAAGTGATTCCTTTAAGAAGTGAAAATGTGAAAGTTCTTGACTGAATAAGAATAGAAAAAATTGTATGCTGAATTTACTAAGATCTATAGTAAATTATTGTTGTTAATTTCTTAGTGTGCCTACTTTATACATTATAATTTCTCTTTTCTCTCTCTCTCTCTCTCTCTCTCTCTCCCCCCCCCTCTTTCTGTATATATTCACAGTACAACTGGGATTTGGGAATGTATTCCACAAAGATGAAATATTCGTATCTTTAAAATGCTGATTACAATGTGAATTTCTAGAGTTCTTCTGAGATAACATATTGGGAGTCTGTAGACCACTGTTGACCACATGGTTAAGTCCTCTGCAGTTAACTACAACTATTATTGAGGTTAGAATTTTATTTCTATTTACAAATATCCCCTCTAGCCATATCAGACGCACACTCTCACCAAGATTTTTCATATATTGAACCTAGGATGTTGACCTTTGCTTCCTCAATAATTGTTAGAGAATTCTGTTTTTGTCAATACAGCAAATTCATGTACAGTTCTCCAAAACTGCTCAATTTTCAAGTACTTTTAAAAATAGACTATTTTTCAGAGTAGTGTAGGTCAAAGAAAAGTTGAGTGAAAAGTAGAGTTCCCAAATACCCAACACATGCCTTCTCCTTCAGAATAAACAACTTTTAACAGAGTAGAAGAATCTGCAATGACACACCATTATCGTCCAAAACCCATACACTACATTACATCAGATTTCACTGTTGGTATTGTAGCTTCTATGGATGTGCACTACATTGATAACAGGAATTCCCTGGCAGAGGCTAATTCCTTCATCTGTAAGACTTAAGAGATCATAGTAATTGGTTTGACTCACTCTCATTGTTGACTCATTTTGAAAAATTTATAGGTAATAAGGATTTCCATAAAAAAACAGTCACTGATCAATCAAAAAGGCAAATGGTTTTGAACTGGCACTGCATGGTATATTAATCCTTTATTTACTCAATGTCATAACCTTGGGTGTGGGTTCTCAGGGAAGAAGCTAAGGAAGCCATACTAGTAGCTATTTTCTAAGCAGATAAAAATGTATTTCAGTATTTTAACAACTATTTCAGTCATATTTATGTATGCCAGTCAACTCTCTGTTCTTCATATTCTAAAAATTTTAAAGCACTGTATTATTTTGTAGAGTCTATAATGATCTGATCTTTGTTTTGATGGAAAATGACAAAGGTTTTCATATAATTTGTCTACTACCACCTGGCTGACAGCCATTCTAAGCGGTCATCTAATGTGTAATATGTTATGTTATATAGGCATTCTGAACTCAGAGAATTAAAATGTGGAAAACTGCTTCTCTCATAATTAAATAAATATTAAATGCCTTATGCTTTAATTAGGACATTATTTTTGTTATACAAAATGTTATTATCCATAACAGTTGATCTCGTATCATTAAATTAGACTAACAGAAATAGATAATTATGCTACATAATTTTTGATTATTACCATAATATCATTTTGTATGACCTGCTTAGTTTTTTTATTGAATGTCTACTATTTGCCAGGGACCAACAGAGTCATGAACTATAGGCAACATATAAAAAAAAGACATTGTACTTAAGAGCTTTAAACATGAAGTTTTGCCTGAGATAAGCACCAAAAGCAGAAATGTTGTTCCCAGATGCAAAGAAAGGAATAGGAAGCGATTATTCTTTGGTAAGATCACACTGTTTTGTTTGTGTTGTTGCTGTTTTTTAGTTTGCTTGTTTTGAGGCACTGGGGATTGAACTCAAGACCTCTGCTAGGCAAGCATACTATCAGTTGGGACATGCCCCAGTCCTTTTGCTTTTAGTTCATTTTTTAGATAGAGTCTTGTGCTTTTTAGCCTCATACTGTGATCCTCTTACCTCTACCTTTTGAGTAACTGGGATTATAGTTTTATGTTACCATGCCCAGCCAATGATCACACTGGTTTTAAATTGTGCTCACAGGAGATTTTTACAAATTCATCCTAGTGACTGCTATGAGAAGTAGTTAAATGAGTAAACCTGCTTCCAAACCAGAGTAGATATACTCTTAACTGTTTTATACTATATTGAATTTTGGGTAATGTTTAATTTGAAGAAAAAAAAGGTTTCTGCTGCAATATAAAGTTTGAAAACCATTTATCTGGTACACAAGCACTAAACCTTAGCATGAAAATGTTTAAATTTCCACTTCTACTGCCCATTTGTAATTTGACTTCAAATACCAAACCACATCTAAACATACAACTAGCAAACACATAATTCCAAGTGATCCTGATCCTAGTTTTCAGTTAAACTGTAAATAAAGCTATGTAAATTATTCTTTCAGGCTGCTGTGCATGAAACAGTCCTCATCACATACTGGGATTACAAGAATTCAGCAACAATCCTGTGTCCATTGAGGTGTAAGTTACCCCTATTTTTCTCTCCTTTGGGAGGCAATTAAAAAAAGATTTAGATATGAACAGAAAAACAATAATAATGTAGTGATAATTGTGAAATGACCTGTATGCTGTGCTCCTCATTTTTTAAATTTAACATTTTTATTATCATATATTAGTTCCATAAGGTGGTTTCATTGTGACAGTCCCATACATGCTTACACGTATCATGGATTGGTTCATCCCCACTATCATCCCCCTCTCCTCTCTCTAAAACGATTTCTCAACAGGCTTCATTCTTATATTTTCGTACAAGTATATAAAGCATTTCCAGCATATTCATCCTTCCTTACCCTCATCACCCTCTACCCTCCCAATAGTACTCAACTCCTAACAGGACCTGCTTCACATTCTTGTCCTTCACTTTTTTAAGTGTATATTCACTGTTAAAGGTCATAGTATTTCATCTGTGAATGTACTACACTTTAACCAGATTAACCCCCTCTATTACTTACCCTTACCCTGTACCCCCATTATTTAACAACTTTCAGTCCATTTTGTTATGCCATCTTCCTACACAGACACAATTTTGGTATTATTATTTGGTATTTTGGTATTATTCACTTTTTACCATTTCACTTTCTTTTAGTCTCTTTCCTCTCTCCTCCTCATTAGTCTCACTATAGCAGAGTGCATATAATGTTTATGTTTGTGTATACATTTTTTCTTTGGATCTTTCTTTCTTCTACAAATGAGAGAAAACATGTGACCTTTGTCTTTCTGAACTTGGCTTAATTTTCTTACATGATGACCTCCAGTTCTGTTCATTTACCTACAAATAACATAATTTCATTCTTCTTTACGGTCAAATAATATTCTATTGTGTATATATACCACATTTTCTTTTTTTTCTATTTTTAAGTTTCAGCAAGGATTTATTTTAGTATAACAGGATAAAGTAGGGAGAAGTAGAGGAAAGTGAGAAGAGAAAAACATTTCTTGTTTCTCACACAGGAAATGTTAGCAAAGACTCTACCACATTTTCCTAATCTATTCATCTGCTTTAGGGCATCTGGACTGATTCCATAGCTTGGCTATTGTGAGTTGTGGTGCAATAAACATTGTAGTGTTTAATTGAAGGTATATCTATTGTATCCTGACTTATATTCCTTTGCTTATATTCCTGAGTGATATTGGTGGACTGGATGATGATGCTATTTTTAGGTTTCTGAGGAACCTCCATACTGCTTTCCATAATGGTTGTACTAATTTACATTCCCACCCAGCAGTGACTGAGGTTCCTTTTCGTCCCACACCCTGGCCAACATTTCTTGTTTGTGTACTTGATAATAGCCATTCTGAGTAGAGCGAGGTGAAATCTTAATGTAGTTTTGATTTGCATTTCCTTTATGGCCAGGAATGTTGAGCATTTCTACATATATTCATAGGCCACTTATTCTTCCTCTGAAAATTGTTCAGCTCATGGGCCTATTTCTTCACTGCATGGTTGATTCTTTGGAAGTTTAGTTTTTATGTGCTCTTCATGTTTTAGAGTGAAAAAACAGAGGTAAAAGAATTAACTAACTGGCCCATGGTGACTGTGATGAAGCTACAATTTAAAGCCACTTTCATATCATTTTTTTATTCTTCATCTTCATTAAATTATGCCATGCTACCTCTTTACATGAACGCTCTATATCCTATACATGGTAGGACTGAGGAGCTTGGGGATGGGAAGCAGTGCATGCTTCTCTGCCATAGGCAAAAGGTATATAGCTAAGAAATTACTACAACATATAAACTTGTAAAATGTACTAAAACAATAAACTTGTTTGAAATTAAATGAATATTTGTTCTAGTAATTAAAAATTGCAGATCTTTCTTATGGGGCCAGGAGGTATTTCCATATTTTACTCCTTGTGAAATGTTGTTATTAAGGTAGTTAGAAAGATATATATAGAGAGAGATAGATAGATATATAGATGATAGATAGATAGATATACACAAAATAACATAGTAGTACACCAGGCCAGGAGAAATAGCATATGTAACTCATACTAAAAGGACTGACAAATTTATGCAGGCAACCCAATATTCCTGGTCAAGAACTAGGAGTTATGCTTGTTGTTGAGAGTCGTTATATAGCTCTCAAGGGTACCATGCAATCAGAGGTCACAATCGAGGCAACAGAAGCAATGTCATCACATCAGAGAATGGGCCGATTCAGATCTGGTTCATGACAGTCACTGAGGTCAAGGCTTGTAGCAAATAATTGTATTAAATGGCAATATTCCCTGTATCGTTTTAGAATTGTCATCTGAACAAACAGGTCCAGGTCATCTACAGGTTAAATCTGAAGTCTTTTCCTGATACTTAAGAGTTTACCTTCTAGTCTTAATTCCTCACAGTTTTTAATCTTAGAAATAAAACTTGTTGTAAATCAAGAAGATGCTTCACAAATTTTTTTCTAATCTCAACAATGACAACCTAAACAAAGCAATATTATTTAAATATATGTATTTGTCACTTAACTGCATTTTTATTTGCTCTTACATGTTTCCTTATGAATTTCATTATAGTTAAAATAATAATTTTATTTTATATTTGAATTAGTTTGAAAACAATTTTACATTCAAATTGAATAGTTTGAAATTTAACTGACCAACTGCCATATATATATTGCATATGTACAATTGCATGTATTTTATTTATATGCAATTAAACTCAGAACAGTAATTTTTAGAAAGAGATAAAACTTACAAATAGCATTTAAATTTACAAGTAGTATTTAATGTTGAAGAGAAGTAACTGAAATCTTTAAATCAAATTATAAAAATAAAATTCAACTAGAATAGTTACAGTTATGTTTATATGAAATTCATAGTACACATTGTTTATTTATGCGCTCTTCAAAACAATTTGTGATTTATAAATCATTACCAATGCTTTTTCAGAAACCTCAGATGACACTTGCTAATTTAACTATATGTGGTTGGCACATCTCTAATTATACTATAATTTTGATTAAGGCTGTAAATTTAGTACTTAAATTTAAGATTCTTATCTTGAATATAAAATTTTATTTTGATACATAACCTTCACAAAGGATGCTTGAAAAAGAATGCTTCCTAGAACCTCTTTTTTTGTCTAAGAAGTAAGAAAATCAGTTTGATGATTGGTTGCATTTGATATTAATTTATATGTCACTTTTCAAAGCCTTTCAATTTACTATTTGAATTATATACATACACTTAAATACAGCTTCATGAAATAGTTTCATAAGAAACACACAATAAAATTATAAAATCATAAGAATGATACTGGCATTAGTTAATATTCAATTTAATAAGGGTGACACTTTCTGTTTTCCTGACTGTTCAGTTAGCATATTTTCAATGACAAAGTGCTGTGTTTCTGAGTAATATGGCACAACATATTATAAAACAGTATCTAAGGTAATATTTTCTCACTGTTTAATAAGCCCTATTGTGAATAATGCTTATTTTGAAATCATTCTTTAGAATGTGTTAGAGCAAAACTGACAGTTTTCTTTGGTAAATTATACAATCCTTGTGAAAAGCGCAATCTCACTTCAACAGCTCAGGCTAAATGTCAATTTCAGATACTTCTAAGTATTTACTTTTTAAAAATCATATTTTTAAGTTTTATTCAAATATATTTTAACCTATAGCTTTATTAACTATGCCAGGTGAAAAAGTATCAATTGTATGTTAAACATTAAAACTGTTATTTTAAGGAAACACTTCTTGACCTCATTAAAATAATTAACATTTCATAACATTATATTTCACATTCAACTTATGGAAAAGCAAAAAAATTATCAAAACAAACTACAGTCAATTACATTTTCAGATGAACAAAATGTACTTGTGAGAGTCTTCTTTCCTTAGTCCAATTGGACAGCTCAGAAAGGCGGTTAGAAACATTCCTGTCCCAATGCCTAAAAGGTACAGGATTTTTCCTTTGTTGCGATTGTTCTTATATCGTTTTCATCTTTCTACAGCTATAAATATTAATAGAGACAGGAGACTGCACTCAGACATGTGCACATATGCACATATAACTGAGATTAACTTTCAACATCACTTTATAGCAAATTATTCTGGTGAGTTATCCAAATAGCAATGCTGTTATAGTGTGTTTTTTTAACTTATTTACTTTATAATCTGAATTATTTTAACTGAATGGAAATTACTGTCAGTCAATCTTTTAGAAATACCTGATAGCTCTAAATGAACAATAGGGATCAATGATTTGATGGTTTTAAACATGATGAATAAATTGAAGTAATACATTTTATTTTTCTTCTTTCATATTTAAGCACATAATTTCACTTTGAAAAGAAAAATTTCAGTCAAACTGTCTTCTACTTCTCTAATTCTATGGTATTTGACTTGTTTCTAAAATTATCTGGGTTTCGCACTCTAAGACCTGGGTCACAACCTTATTTAGGGACAGGAAATAGTTATCAGGTCACCCAGTGGTCAAATGAAAAAGGATTTGAAATGCTTCAGCACTTAGGACTCTATTCATTCAAATGATTGACTTCCACATTATCTAAAGTTTGAAGTTTCTTTGCAGGAACTAGTCAGCTTATGCCTATATGATCATAGCAATATTAAGAAAAATCTCCAGCAGCTTATGAATAGGTAGATTATGAGAGTGTAAGAATGTAAGTAAAAGTTTTATATGTCTATAAAAAGCAATGATTTTTGGGACATGCACAGATATTTCAGTTAACAACTTATTTGAGCTCAAATCCCTTGTAGTTGGTAGTAGATAGGTATAGAAACAAAGAGAATTAAATTTTATTTCTTAATGCTCTTTTTCTTTTAAAGTATATTTAAAATTTATGGTAATTTAACAGCACATTTTACTGTCATACAGGATATAATCATATATACTTATTCCTGTACTCAAAATGACTAATTTATGCCCATGATAGAATTTTTCTGTTTTTATATTTATCTGATATTATTTCAAGTAAATGTAATATATGTTTAATGATGGAACTAGGAGAAACTGGGAAGTTGGGGCAATGACAGTGAATACTTGAATTATTATTGATAATGAAAATGATCACTTTTCCCAGTCTCCAAGGTATGTGGTGTCAGGGATTTTATATAATGAGAAAATGGAAAGAAAATACTTCAAACATGTATGAAAAGTGATAGAAGACAATCGACTCAAAGAATTGCTTGAGTAACTCATTTTCCAATATTTAGAAGCCTAAAAATAGGACATTATGAATAAGAAAAGTGCACCAAAAAGGTGTGACATAGTTAGAAATACTTCTCTATATCATCATAAAAACCTAAGAAATCAAGGCTTCATCCCACAAATGTGGAAGGCAGCAATCCTGTCATTGATGGACAGAAGGTTGGAAAATTAGGCACAGATTTTATTTTTAAGTTTTATTTTATAATAAGAAACTGGGCCATTAAAACTATGTAACCAAAGCTGGAGTGCTTGCACTGGAAGGCCCCTGCAGTCTTTTACAACTTTTCAGGGGCCGCGGTTGTGAACTGGGTTTGCACTCTGCCAGCAGAGCAGATCTGACCCGTGGAGAGCACTCTTTCAGATCAACACTGCCTCAGGCCTTTCTGCTTTCTCCAAGAAGTCTTACATTTCAGGCATCAAGTTGAATTTCTTCTGGAGATGATTAACCCAAACCCATGACAGATTTTTTCCAAGATATCCAACCCCTTATGTTTATTTTATCCTGGCTCTTTTTTGGATGTACTGGACACAAGTAACTTACTCATTTTACATGTTAAAGGGCTGGTGAAGAGACATTAAGTCCCTTAAAAATTAGAAAATATTTCAATGTGCCGAGATCTCTTGTGTACACTTATATATGCTACATGATTTATAATTTTAAGAAAGATATTTCTCCTATATTACAGAATTTTTTGAAAGGATTTCATCACATCTCAAGATAGTGATCTTACACTTTTGGGGAAATGCATTCTTGTGATGTATTAAAAAATACAATGTTAGAAGGATCAGTTACTATTTCCATAAGCTTAGTTTGTAGGGGGTTTCAACTAACCTAAATCTTGGCACACACAATTTTAGTTAATAGTCAAATAAAATATATAAAGGGTCTATTTTCTTTCTAATGTACCAACTTCTGTCATTCTTTCTATTCTTCAAAATTTTCTTCTTATCATGAGTGAGATGAATGGTAGGGAAACCATTCAGGTGTTCTTGTCCTAGTTGAACTAAAATATTTTAAACTCAGAGATAAGACCAGATGACTTTTTTGGAACATGACTGTTAGTAAATTTTTTCTTTGAAGAAACTCAATGCTAAAGGGTAAGATTTTTATAGCTTTTTAAAGAACATATTCAAGTCACTTAGGACCTATGGTTTCAACTGCAATGGGTTTTTTTTTAATTACAAACAATTATTTACAATTATTTTAAACATTAAAATACTCAGAATATATAAATTAGCAATGCAGATACCAACAGAAAAGCTTATTTAATAATTTATTTCAACATCTGTTTTTCTAATATTAACAGAAATGCATCAAAGGAAAAACACCTGAAAATAAAGGATATTTTAATGTAAAATCTTACTTTCAATAAGATAAACAAGGTAAACAATTTAAGGAAAAGACATAAATTGCGATTTAACATTGCATCATAAGAATAGGAACTCATTCCATTGCATTTAAGTATATATAAGTGTGTGTGTGAGTGTGTGTGAATGTATGTGAGTGTACAGATATAAGAGAATGGGGATGAGCATGAAAGATTGAAGACAGCTTACATGTGTCCACTATTACAGACATGCCATTTGAACATGCATGTCATTCACTCATAAGCCACAGTTGTGAGAAACCTACAATATTGAATTAATCTTTGGGTGATGATGAAATGTTTACTGTATAATAAATATGTTTTAGTTTCTTAAAATTAATTCTACATGTTCCTTTAATAATAATTCACTGAACTACATTTCAAAAGTATTTGACATAATCTTTTTAAATAGGAAAAATCTCACATACAACGTATGGTTTCTGGTACAAAAACCATAAGATATATTTTAGAAAGTTTTAAGGGATAATTGTATTTCCCCATAATATTGATGCATACCTTTAAACTGTTAAAAACTATAAGTCCTAAAATCATGAGGATTATGGAAAAGAAATTTACTGTTCCTACTGAGCAAGTGTTATTTTTCTGTTCTTCTTGAATGAAATGGCAATGTAAATTTTATCTTTATAAAACATATATCAATACCTGAATCAAAATATTCTATCTTAAAGTAAAGGATAAAAACTAAGTTGATTTTTATAATTAGATTTATTACTGGAATGTTTAAAGATATCGGTTTCTTCTTTAGTTCATGCTTCAATTGGCTACCTAAGTTCAAGACCTTACAAAGGGGGAAGAAAAAGAATGACAAGGGGCAGCATATAAATTGGGGGTGGTAGGTTAATACCAGAAGTGTGACTGATTGATTGATTGACGTCACCTTGAGAAATCTGGATTAAAGCTGCTTATTAAATTCATTCAGATAAAATTTAGAATAGGGTCAGCCACTGACCAGTATCTGCATCTGCTTATTCACTCATATATATGCATTTACCATCACCCAAAAAATCTCTTTCTATTGAAAGAATTATTCACTAAGCAGATTGATAGATTTCCTGTGCACACATCCACCTACATAACCACACCATATTTTTAAAGTTTAACATTTCAAACATCACCGTTTATTATAATCAATTCTAAATTTTAGCAAATTTCAATTCACATTGCTACTGTTTCTGATCATAGAAAAAGCTAAAATATATTGAAATTAGTATGCAGTATTATTGTTTTCAGCATTTAACATGTACCAATTCACTTACTTCACTCTATGAATTGTGCATTATTTTTCCTCATGATATCAATTTTTTAAACTGGGGAAGCAGACACAGAAATGAGAAGGATGTGATTAAAGTCATATCCCCAGTAAGGAACAGAGGTGGGTAACTACTGGGTTAGGGTTTCATTTTCTTTAATTAAAATAACAATCTTGAAAAATATTGCAGAATGTAGTTAAGCTTTAAGGAAAACATTTGGGATCTCACAATTCTATTAAATTTCTGTGAAATCTCTATAGGAAAAAGCAATCATTTAGTTTTCTGACAAACATAAAAATGTGTATTAAGTAGAGTATATTATCCATCTCTAGTCTTTCAGAAAATGTTTCAAAAGCTACAAAACCTTAAAATGAAGGGACGATGCTTGTGATGATTACATTTTTCAAGACCTACTACCTCACAGCTGTTTGAGCGTCAGTAGGAAATGATTAAATGAATTCCAAAGTTTGCTAAATAGATCTCAGGGGTGGCTGAGACAGTGGAACTTATAGCTTGAATGTGAGCATTGAATGAGTTGTAGGTTGAAATTGGGACTAGGCCAATATCTGACTTTGAGTAATAGCAACAGGCAGGAAGTGTGTTCCTGAGAATCCAAAGATATTTTAAGTCAGAAATGTTTATTAATTCAACAAACAAGTATTGAGTGCCTAGTATTGATGAATCTAATACAGTTGGTAGATTCTGAGGATGGAGGAAACAGACATATGACTAAGATTTGATCCCCCATCTTGAAAAGACTAACAGTTGGGGAGGAAATACAAAATAACATGTAGTCACAGGACAATTATGGACAGAGACATGGACAAAGGCCTGCGGGAGGCTTTGGTGGTATTAGGAATGACTGACAGATGAAATGACATTTATTTGAGTCATGAAGGATAAATGGTGAGGAAGAGCATCACAAATAGAATAGCATAAAAATATGAAGAACAGGATACATTTTTGGAAAGAACAGAGTTCATAAAGTTGTGGATATACTGAAGCAGTTCAATATAGCTTAGGCATATTTCAGGGAGTAGTAAAGAACATTACAAGGTGATGCTGGAAAAGTAAGTTGAAAACAGTAAGCAAAGGGCATTATATACAGAAGATTGGAATTTGTACAAGAGGAAACAGGCATTTCCTGTTTTCAATAGCAGTGGGCTATATGTAGAAGTATGGTTTATAGGGAGGAAGGTGTGCTGGCACATGCCTGTAATTCCAGCACTTGGGAGGCTTAGGCAGGATGATCATTAGTTTGAAGCAAGCCTGTGCTGAGTAGTGACATACTGCCCAAATAATAAAACAAAAAAGAGAAGAAAAAATATGGTTTAGAAAGGCATTGATGTAGAGCTTAAAGATGATAGCTTTTGTAAGATTGAGAGTTGTGGAGTTTAGAGAAGAAACTATTAGAGTATTTCAAGGAAAGAGACACTGAAGGCAATGGAATATGTGGGGTTAGTCCTTATGCTTAGGAATGAAAATGAGAACAGAATTAGGAATGA